TTAGAAACAAATAACTAAATTTATATACAGAATCGATCTTCAACGGCGTATATATATCTCCTTGTGGTTTATTTCACAGATACACATAACATATTAAGTATATGTTAATATGTCTTTCGTTAGTACATTACCTTTTTTATGGTAGAATACTGTATGATTCTTTATTAGCATAGAATTTCGCACATACATATTAAGAGCAATTTTTATTAACTCGGTTTGGTGTAATTCTAAATAGAATAATATTTGTACATTATATTTATGTATAAAATATTATATTAACAATGCCAAAAAAAAAACAACATGAGAACAGTCTATATACATAAAGCAGTTAACATCAGACTTGCGTCACTTATAACAAAATAATTTATGTATCTACGCTAATTATTGACCAATTTATTTCGCACGATATACCTGAAATAAATACTTTCATAGATTCATTTTGTCAAAACCATCTTATAATAAATCTTTTTGCACAAAACTGCAGATGTCTTTATAATTCATTACATGTTGTACATCATCATTATTACATAGTATAAAACAAAGTCGCTGTCGCTGTCTGTCCCTATGAATGTCCATATAAATCTTTAAAACTACGCAACGTATTATTGATGCGATTTTTTTAACAGATAGAATGATTCAAGAGGAAGTTTATATATAATACATTTACCGACATATACACCCGTGCGAAGCCGGGGCGAGTTGCTAGTTGAGTATATTTAATAAAAAATATTCGTCCTACACTGCCAACTCTTATAAAACGTAATATTAATTGTCTATGGTTAGCTCGAACCATTTTTCATTTTACCCGCGCAAAGAAATCTCACTTTGATAACATTTGCACAATAACCCGCTCATCATAGCTATATGTATTTGCATCTAATTTAGCATCCTAAGAAAAGTTAAGTGAAGAAACGGACCTGCATTATCCGATATTTAAAACTATGTAATAAATTATTATTATTATTTAACTGAATAGGTTTATTTATTTATTGACAAAACCTACATATTCATATTATATAAAAAATAAATAGTTAGGCTTCACAAGAAACAAAATGTTTTGCTTCTTGTTACACTAGATTTGAGTGCTGGTTTAAGTATGTAAGATATTTACAGAGATAAACTTATAATTAAACACTTTATATACATTATCAGTACCTGACAGCAATAATACAATGTCATACGGTCCTAATTATGGCTAAGTATTTCATAGTCCCCATTATACAATCGCGGCTAATTTGCAAATGTCATTATTGACGCTCCTGCCAGACCATAGTGACGTAACATATCGATGGTATAGTTAGCAAACAAAAACCTACATTTTATGAATAATGTCTTTCATCCATTGGACAGAATAATAAAAAGAAGTTATTAAGTAATAATATCTATTAATGTATAGCTTTATTGCTGTACATCTCTGCATGAAATATTAAAAATGTACATGTTTTAGAATGAGAATTAAATTGTAATTTGGTTAAAACTATAAAAAAAATATAATTACTGGTAGTATATAATTAATGACTATTAGTGCTGAATGTAAATCAGACTTATTTTTTTACTAAACAGTTTTTTTTTTACTTATTAATATTTTACGGCTCTGGATACAAGTCCAACATAAAGTATAAAAACTTAAAAACAATTACAATTTCTTCACAGTGTTGGAAATTAATTTATATAAAGTCTTGAATAATACAGGCCTTGATAAAATCTCTTCTAGAGACTTCGGTACTTCATTACTATACTCTTGAATCTCTTGAATGAGTAATAATCTGTCTAGTCCGTATTTTCTACATTTGAATATAATATGATTCAAATCTTCATCTTCATTGCAATGAGGACATTTTGGGTTGTGAACCATTTTCAGTCTATACAGGTGAGTGCGAGTTTGATTATGGCCAAATCTCATACGGTTAATAGTCGTGATAAATTGTCTGCTGTCGACGTCTTTATTGTTATGGTACCAAGGTTTGGCGAGCAGACTTCCTTGGATCTTGGCATACCATTTTCCTTTATCGTTAGCAATATTTATGTAATAGTCATTCCATAATCATTTTAAAGCTTTTTCAAGTGAGCTATGATAGTCGGTGAATGAAACTTTAAACATTCGAGTGGTCTTCATAATGAACATTCCGAGCAGCTTGATACGCTATTTCATTTTCAGCAATTCCTTTATGACCAGGTACCCACAAGAATGATACCTGCTTACTGTTGTTTCTCAGGTCATAAATATTATACAATAAATAGTTTAAATTATATTTAAGAGATATATTTTGTAGAGCTTTTAAAGCACTTTGCAAGTCCGTTAGTATTATAAAATTTACATCATTCATATATACATATTATGAGAGAGTTGTTAAATATAGTATAGGTATAGTATATAGTTTACAACTCCGCTCAGACTGAATTGTGTGTTTACCATAAAACTTTGTAAGTCAATTTATATTTCTGACTGAATCTCCGGTAATGAAAACAATCATACGAATTCTTCATGCTATCTTCTCATTACACATAATTATTTCCTTATGAAGTTCGTACTATGCGTATAAAGTAGAGGCTTTTGTACATTCACCGACGGCTGATTAAAGCAATGTTTTACATCATTGGGTTCCACGTCGCTGGTCGCTGGGTGCAATACAAAAGTTTTAAAGTTGTAACTAAAATTATCGATTCAAAACCCACTAAGCATCGGCATCCCTTTTATTGTAGATCTGTCAAAACTGTCAAAACATCACTTACATGTTCTTCGGTACACTAACCATTTTTCTCTATTTTGGTTCTAAACACCAATCGAAATCGACTAAACCGACATTGAATTTCTATTTTAATTTCCAAAAATATAATTTGCCATTGTCTTTTTCCATTTATGGTATGTGTTCGAGGAAGACAGTGCGAGAGTGCTTAAAGGAATCAACTATCTTCATAGTCCCTTCTCAGTAATATTTTACATCAATGGGTTCCACGTCACTGGGTGCAATGCAACATTTTTAGCTAATACAAAAATAATAGTTCTAAAATAACCTTGCATCATTAAAAAAAATTATAAAGGTCGTTACCCACTACTATCGGCAATCTCGCCGGCTGCGGCACTATGACATAATGCAAGGTTGGCACATTCCGTCGTGTTCCGGTCATCCGAGATCGTATAATGCAATAGCTACGTTGCGTCAAGTTTAGTGTCCACTATCAAACGGGCCGACATATTACCTTTTTTTAATCATACATTCACGATTGATTCACGGCGCTGCTAACTGATGTGGTGAATGCAAGATTTTCTTCTATATACCAAATTTCGAATACGAATTTGACTATGGATTTTAATAAAATATTATATGCGGATGATCACATTCTAGATTGAGGTTTTATCCGAGTAAACGTGACGACAACATACTTATTACTTTGCAATAATATTTAACTTTCAATTTTTTTTAAATTTAATTTATTGACACCATACGACATATACTGCTAGGTCTCAAGAATAAAGATAAACCTGATAATAAAACAAAAACAATGAAAATGCATACGGCAGTTGTCTCAGATATATTTATTTCTTAAAATTAAGCAACCATTATTTTAATTATGACATCAAAGTAGTGAAATACATGGATAGTAATTTTAATTGTTAAAAGGAAAACAAGATTTTCCGATTTATTGACATATTGATCAATACGGCCAACGAAATCTCGTAAGACAATGGAGAAGCGCAACATTCGCACGCACACAAAGTTCACATGTCAATAAGCCTATAAATACAACACATGCTCGTCTGTTATGTGTGTAAATGAGCTATAATGTAGGACATGGCACAGTCTAACCACGAACAGGTTTAGCTTCTGATGGTACCAGTTCGACCCCATTGTATAGCTTACATTTTGTGGATGTCCTTTTTTATGTTTAGTAAAAATAATTAAATTCATAAATTATTTGCACAAATTGATAACTAAATCTTACCGTAAGAGTTTTGATTAATTAATTTTGTATACCTTAAAAGTAGCTGTGGATATATGTATGTATATGTTCAGTAAACATACATATAGTAAACATTGTTTAAAGTAAAACTTCGAAATTAGTTAAATCTCTTTAAGTACAAAGACTTACCAATTCCACTTGTCTGACTGACTCTGATCTATCTGACTAATCAATTACAAATGTCCTAACTGCTCTGTGTCCGTTTATTTAGATTTTAGACTACTATTCACCCGATAAATACTGAGAATTACTAGTAAATTCTAAGTTATACATATATGTATACCTATACGTAGTTTTACAGTACGTGATGTAGGTACGTATATAATTAATATCTCTAACTAATTGCTGTGACGATCTCTTCCGGCCTATATGATCTAGCTATGTAATGTAATCAGCCAACCAACTTGATAGTGCAAGTAATAATTATGTATTTAGAACGACAGGTTTTAGTATTTTATAAGTATTCGAGTATTTTATAATTATCTTTTTTAAATGAAATAAATCAAATTGATCTAATTTAAGAACGTAACTGTTATTGACAGATATATAATAAATAAGCATAATAAGTGATGTCTGGTTATTAAATATTGCTTGCCCCTTTTTGTCTTATTTGTGATCGATAATAACATATCACTTTAGAATTAATTAATAATAAAGTCTATTAAAAAATAATTTGTATAAGAAGAAATGTCCATGATCTACTATGAAAAATGGTAAATATATGAACGCAGTCTACAAGAAATACACTAAGAAACCCATTACATAATCGAATGTATAGGATAAATAAATAAAGAAATTCAGTTGAGTTTCTTGACATTTGTTCTCAATTGAATGAACTAGGCGTTAGATAAAAATATGTTCTTAGAATAAATGAGTTTTAATTTGATTTACTTTAAATACAGTATGTTATGTTCTCTAATGTTTAACTGCCTTATTTTGTACCATGCACCTGTTTGGCATGCAAACTATAACTAAGATGACTACATGTAAAATCTTATATTGATATTGTTCTACATAAATATTTTTTTTATTTACAGATAAAAAAATGCGATCACAATAAAATCCAGCTGCTTGTGCGGCCATCCAAGATGGCGGCGCGTAATGCCGCGGTGGTCATAGAACGGGCCTGCAAATACTATGGCTCGCCAGACAAGCCTGACTATAAGCCTGTGCTTATAGATATGAACATGACAGTTGAAAGGGGAATTATGTAAGTACTTTTTAATTCTATGGGTAATAAATATTATTTACATCAGGGTATGGAGGCTTTACACCTGACTGAAGAAAACGGCCCTCTTGATGATAAGTGGCAACCGTCGTCTATATAAATAGACATCACCTCGTCAATTTAGGGCCATGGTACCTCTCATGGTTTTTATTCTGAAGAACTAAGATGTCACATCTCCGTACTCTTTATTTTCACTGCCTTGTCCCAATGCTTTACCACGAACACGTCTTAAGGCAGGCCTTTTGACGACAGAAATAGCAGCACGCAGTTGCTAACCACTCATTTGAAATATAAATTCACAATTTTACTATTACGTGAAGTTGCGTTTTACAGTTGCTGTTGTACTCGTACGTGTTATCCGGTCGCAACTAGGAGAAATAATAAACATGTAACAATTTCAATGTCAACAATTTTAAACGTTATTTGTTAGCAATTCATTTACGTAACGAAACTGCATGTCTATATAACTGTCACTAAAAATTTGACATAAAACCGTACATGTAAGTATACTATAATCAGAACGTTACTAAATTACGAGTATATTAATTTTGATTTTAGCTTGGAGACTATTTTTTTTTGGTTGAGTTATGAGATTACGTATTCTATTTTATAGTAGTCGTATATTTCGTGCCCAGCGGCCACTGAATGCGGCCGATTCGGTGGATATGACAAGATAATAAATAATTGTTAGTTATTTTCCCAACTGCTATCTATATATTACTATTATCTACTTCCTCGTTTATAATAATTGCACCGCCATCAATATTATATGCACTCAGTATGTAGTAAACGCCACAAGGTGTTGAGTGCGCTAAATTAAATATTGTGTATATTTAACATTTAGTGGTCGCCCAGTGGTCAAAATTCGAATTAAAATTTTCTATTTTACCACAACATTTCAACATGCACATGAACACATTAGTACATTATACTTATTTGGGAAAAAAAATGTAAAGTTATCGTAAGTTCATAGTTTTTATACTAGAACACGATGAAAATCAGCTCCTAATCTTTTCAAATAAGCTTGAACATGATTACAAAAATACAAATTCATGTTTAAATAAGAAATACACTCTGAGAAATCCACATTGTGATTTGCCGTTACTATAAGCGGTTACTCGTAAAATGTATAACAGAATAGTACGCATAGATTAGAATAATTTTAAAAATCTTCGTACTAACTGTCCGCGTGTGTCACGTGATCAATTTGATAATGAGGAATTCCAAATTCAAATTTTTTTCTTTGTGAATATTTGACCTTACATATTTTACGTGCACCCTTTACATGTAACCTTGAATACTAGTAGTAGTAAATAGGATAATTCATTATACATATTATTTTACCAAATACATATCTTCAACAGATACGGGCTTCTTGGACCATCAGGTTGCGGTAAAACTACACTTCTCTCATGTATAGTGGGCAGACGAAAACTGAACAGCGGCAATGTATGGGTATTGGGAGGAAAACCGGGTGAAAGAGGAAGCGGGGTACCGGGACCCAGGGTCGGCTATATGCCTCAGGTGAGAAAATTTATATTATAGATAAAACTATTAAACTAAATGTATAAAATTAAGCAGCACAGTGTCTTTTAACTTGAGGTGTTGCAAAACTTGTGGTCTTGATAAAAAAAAAAAATATGTAAATAAACATTATGTTTATTTACATATTTATTTTTTCTGTAGTACAGTCTATTTTACGAAAAACAATTTAATTCTATATTTAAATTCAAAAGTAATACATATTAAACTAGGTTACTCAATATGTAAAATAAAAAACTAAAATTTCAATAAATATTTATAAAAAAAATATTTTTATAAAATTCGGTGCATAATTACGACATTGACAAGCAATATGGACGTAGCCAGTCTTCCGTTTTCTCAGCGACCTGTATAACATTACTTATTTAATTTCAATAAAATTTACATATCGTAAACTTATTATTAAATTGCAATACTTAACTCAAAATTGCCAATTTTTACTAATTTATGAAATTGACTTAAATTTAGTCTATTAATCTAATAATTAAAATCAATTTCCATAAATTAATATTTTTTGTTAATATAGTTAATTATGAAGATATTATATATATTATTTCGACCTACATCATCAGAACGTATATTATCATAAGAAAGAAATCAAATGCATGGGAAAATGAACTCTATACTAAAACATATTAATGAATATAAAGGTCATAACGCATAGAGGTGAAATCTATTTATGCTACTCTCTATATATTTATACTGTACTACCAATTCCCTGCCCCATTGAAATTTGTCAATATAATTTTACCAGCATCTAAGCTGTGGTTCGAACGCGACGGTGCCTTTAAACTAAAGTTTGTTAAACGGTAGTCGTCCAGCAGTTGCGCCATAAATCCTTCCATTGAAGTGCCTTTTGTACTCGCCCCCATTCTTCATCTGGTAAAGTTGAAAAGACTAACAACAGCCTATAGCATTAGAGTGATTCGAAAGCCATAAATTAATCCCATATCGTTTTTCACAGGATATAGCGTTAGTAGGTGAATTCTCAGTTCGAGATGCCGTCTACTACTTCGGGAGGATATACGGCATGAAGGATGATAGACTGAGGGAGCGGTTTGCGTTCCTCAGTGAACTTCTAGACCTAGCCGATGAAGGAAGGCTGATCAAATCACTTTCTGGAGGACAGCAGAGAAGAGTATCGCTGGCTGCAGCATTAGTGCACGAACCAGAACTCTTGATATTGGATGAACCAACTGTAGGATTGGATCCTATGTTGAGAGAAAGGTAGGTCAATCTTCTAGATGATCTTTGTGTAGTAACAGAACAAGATTATTGTAATGTGTTATCACTCCTTTTCATATCCACTATAGTATTTTAATACGCAGATTTGTTTATGAAACTGAAAAGTAAGGTATAATGTAACCACAGATATCACATGATACCCTTGATGTGTTGTGAATCCGGAAGTGTAATTAACTTCATAATAGATGCTAGTGCACAATATTTTATTTTTAAACCCTTATCGAGAAAAAAAATACTAATAGTAAAATATATTTCATAGATATCGTAGGCCTAATAAAAGACCATACAACGGTTACCAAAACCAATAGGACTTTTAATTGCAGTGTTAATGATTCAAATAAATCGGTCTTAAAACTAATTCGATTAGATCCACATGGAATGTAATCCAAAGGATCATATGAAGCTTTATAACAACTATATCATGGTTACTTTTATAAATGCCAATAACGCTTCTTCCAATAATGTCAAGTTCGTTGCATTGATTTTAAGTGTACTTGACATTATTGGGAACAGAAAACATAAATGCTCTGCAAATATTTCCCAATCGTGAAAAATACTTTTTATATATTTAAGATGACCTACACAGACAGAGGTCAGTCAAAGCTTTCATCTTATCTGCTCATAAACAATCTCATTTGATAATAATAACAGCTGAGATTCTTCATTTCTTATCACTTCTTTTTAACTTGAATCACTCCGAACGACTGGTAGATTTGAGTTATCATTTTTGTTCCGTCGTCGTTTGTTATTCTTGTAAGTCTAACAAGAGTAACAAACGACGACGGAACAAAAAAAATTAAAATATCTTGGAACATTGTAAAATTTCAGAAAGCTTAATATTCGGTGTCTTTACGAGTGTTTACTAATACAGAATGACGTTTTTACAGAATTTGGGAGTTTCTATCAGAGTTGGCAAGAAGAGGAACTACTGTTATCATTACAACGCACTATATCGACGAAACAAAACAAGCGCATAAGGTAAATTAAATCTAATTGTATACTTACCCTATTATTTTTCTTTTTCATTGCATGTGCTGACCTTCCAGACAAACTAATTATGAATTGCACACTACTCTGTGCTCAATTAATGATTGGCCACACGATTTGGCCTATATAAAAAATGAGTTATATAATGTTGTATACCTACCTATTGTATACCTGCCTATGTTTCAAAACTTCTATAGTACCTTCCTATAATTACATTACTTGAAGATATGAAATATCGAGTTCGGTTTATACATATAGATCTATTAGAAACACTTGGCATAAGGCAAACCTACCAAAATATAGTTAAAACTGCAAATAACTGACAAGACACTCTGCTCTAACTTTTTGGCAATTCAATTATAGTTTTTTGTAGTTTTATTATTACTTATTTGAGCTGTTACTTTTTAAAATTAGGGTGATTATAGAGCAATCTTTATTATATGTATATATCAAAAATGCAGCCTTAAGTATTTCAACTAGGTTCGTTTATGTATAAGGTACAAATAAATTACAACACAGTACAATAGAACCCTTGAATATTTAAGGGGGTCTTCCTATGTGACGGCCTGTTTTTTAGGGATATTTTAGGATTTTTTTTCTACGACCAGTAAATATTTAGAGCTTCAAGTTTTTTATCATTTATTAACACATATTTGGACAGTATAAATATAAAATTTCAGCTAAAAATATTCAGTCAAACTAGAGTTACAGCGCTCTGAACACCCCCGCCTCGAAAAAAAGAGCTCCCACTTCCTCCACGATTCCGGCTGATCGGCTTATCTGAAAAAAAAAAAAAAAACGGCGTTTTAATTTGTAGGCTTAAAAGCACGGAATGACCTATAATCAAATGAATATAAAAAAAATTGGATTTTTGATAGACATTTGAAATAAAAGTTGCAAATTTTTTGCGTTTTTTTTTTTTTGTTTTTTGCTATAAAAAAATCGAAGTTTTGAAAATTTTCGATTGATAATAGTTCATTCCATGCGTTTACATATATTGAGTGTGCCCTGTAAATTTCAAATAATTCGGTCCAGCCGTTTCTGAGATACAATGGAGGAAAGTTTGAAAAACACAGTTTTGAGAAAAACGCGTTTAAAGTTTCAAGTCCGTTAAAAACTATTAAAATATCAACTTACTCTCAATCGGCGATGCCTGATCCATAGAGTATTCCTTCCTCTTCCTCGTGAAACTCTTTTAAAGCAGATTGTTCAGCTCTTGAGTCAATCCTGGCTTGTTTAACGACATCACTTACGCGCCGCTCAGAGCGTAAGATTCGCTTTTCATCCCGTTTCTCAACATACGCTTGGGCTTCACGACCAACAGGGCATCCCATAATCGACATAACTTTTAAAATACCTTGAAAACCTTCATTAAAGATAATAACTGCTAAGTAGCTAGCAATTTCAACAACTTTGGGACCAGAATGAAGATGTTTAGGAGCGAAAGTCCAAATCAAAGAATTCAAAGATTCGTTATTGTTTTGTGTCTCTGCTCCTAAACAACGAATTAATAATTCACGTCACTTTTACAAGTTTTACATATAACTATTTCAGAGATTGCAGCAAATACAGAAACAAACTCCAAAATGCAATATGCGAAATTCGAAGCGATGGGAACATTCATGTTCATGTTATTTTTAAGTTTTTTGGCCGAAGCTGATGTAAATACCGTATCATTTTGGTGGGTAAAACGGTTTCCACTAAACTTTCTTTTTTTACTACGACCAGGATGAACATTTCCACTCGTACTTCCTTTCCGTCCACTCATTATGAAAAAAAATAATTTGTAGCTGTTGCTCTCTTCGAAGTTCAACCAAGACTAAAATAACTTCGGTAAAATATTATAACAATAGAAATTTCTGTTTAAGTCTGTAGAAACGTGTCTAAACTTGTATAAACAAATATATTAATAAAAGGGAGGCCAGGTATAAAGCCGACGGTACACAATAGGCCCGGTCTCTAACTGCCAACTCACCGCTCCGAACCGCTCTTTCTTTTACCTGCTGTATCTTTAAAACGACTTCGAATTTTCTAAAATCGCTTTACTACCGTATTCTAGACATGTTAAGGGAGCAATTTATGAAAAAAAAAAAAACGATTTTTTCAACCCATCACATAGGAAGACCCCCTTAAGCTGTCTGATACCACTACCATTTATAAATTCAGAGAACAAAATAAGAAAGGAACTTTTTTTATGTGTAAATTCTACAATGACGATTCGGCAATGCGGTTTCGAATTCGCCCTCATTGAGTTTTTAGAATCTTATAGATATATATATAGTAGAAAAAAAATAAGTCTATTTATTTTTTGCTCCTTTGGACGTGAATGTAATATCCTTGAATTTGATATATCTATACGAGATGCTTAATAATATATGATAAAAAGAGAGATTCTTATAGATGTTTAATACAGCAGTGACAGGAAATGTATAAAATAATTAGTATAAAGAACACTTTCGTTTTAAATATAGATAAAGAAATACATAAAACTGCCAATGATTCTCATTGTAGGTCTAATATGATAGAAAGATGGAAGAAGCTGCTTAAAAAACCTGTTATGTACAGCCAGTTATGATCTCGCAGATGAATTCACAAACAGAAATCAGTAGAACAGAATAACAACTTATAGAAAAAAAATCAGTTGCACTACTTCAGCCCGTATGTGACATTATTATAGTGCAATGATAACGCAAACCAGAATACCGGATGCAAAAAATGTATGCAGCAATGTTGATTACAAAGCAATTGACAAACCTTGAGCGTTGTTGCATTTGTTCGATTATAGTTTTTTCAAGTTTCTCAACACTTACGCCATTCAGATAATGGTTTTAACTGTTCACTAGAATGTTAGGACTTGCTACATTCCGCGATTCCAGTTTGTCCGCGCCTTGATTTTTGTATATTGTTAAAGTGCCAAAATAATGCATACGGCCAGACCACTCGATAATAATGAGAATGATAAACAATTATTGACTTGCCAAGGGTCTGATGCACATGTCGCTAATTCTTGCTAAATATCGATCTTAAGTTACAGCACAGTTTAACTTTCGAACGTTCATCCCAAATACTAACCTATACTATCTAATATTATAAAGAGGTAACGTTTGTGAGTATATAAATATTGATAGTAATCTCCGGTATTATTGATACAATATTGAAATTTATTATAGTGTTGGATAGGCCAATTAATCGTTTAAGGCTATCATAGGCTATATAAAACGGAGATGCAATAAAATATGTTGCAATAATGGGTATCACATAGACCATTATTTCAACTTATTAACTCTTGAGGAGACGATCATAATTATAAATGTATTTATACAAAATTGTAAAGTCAAATTAATATTCTCCTCTTATATTCTTTCATCAAGACTTAGTTAAATGTACTTTAAGTTAAAAAAAATATCCTATAAACTTACTTTTTAAAATTGCAACAAAATATTTTCTGTCTTGTAACTTTTTTACAAATATACTACGATATCTATAATATTATAAACATAAAATTTTGTTTTCAGATATACCTAGGTGTGAACTTTAACAAAATTCTAATAGTAATTGTAGTAGTGTAGGTAATATATGTATGTTATATAATCATAGTTAAAGACCTTAATACATGATATACTTAATATAAAAGTAACTACATATATTCTGAATGAAACTATTTTTTACCCAAGTTCATCATGACAAAAAACCGCCTAGCTAATTGGCTTACGTAAATTTATTGTACTAACAGATCGGCCTACTCCGAGATGGTCAACTTTTGGCCGAGGAAGCACCCGAACAGTTGCTGCGTAAATTCGATTGTGATACCCTCGAGGACGCATTCCTCAAACTGGCGCTCAGGCAGCACAATTTGCCACCGAGACGGCAGTCATGTAAGTAATTTTTTTATAGTAAAACTAGAAAATTGCCTAACAATCCGACGGCCTACTTAGTGGGTGCTGGCAACCGTCGTCTATATGGGTTATCTAGCTCTTAGCCGCAACTTCGTCTGCTTGCAATGTAAAATACATAGTTATAGAGTACAAATTTTATTAAGATGCGTTCAACCATTCTGCCGTGAAAAAGCAACAAAGAAACAAACAGCTGATACGTCTGGCTAATTATCTGTTTGTGCCTATTCATGCCTTTTAGAATTTATACAAGTAAATAAAATATTAGTTTGTAATTTTAATTTAACAGCTTTTCACAAATTCCATTTGAAATTCTATGCTCATACATGCATCACAAAATTAATACTACAAAAACATGACAGTCTGTCCGTTTTTGCTAATCTCAGAAACGGCTGGACCGATTTTTATGGGACTTTCACTCACAGATAATGTTATAAGGAGGAACTTAGGCTAATTTGCACGAAACTCTAAAAAAGTAATCTGCTGTGAGATTTTGCGAGAGCGATGAAGCTGAGTGTTTAAGCACGTCAGCAATGGGATCCCTTAAACCTACACCCGGGTCACAAGTCTCGGTAACTGCTCAAAATTTCCCTCTCGGCTGGGTCCCGTATAGTGAATCCTTGGAATATTAAGTTCGTCTGGAATATAATATTAATATAGTGAATGTATTTATTTTCAGCACTGTCGGTATCTCCTGACGTGATACCAGAGAGTAGTATACCTGGTAGCCAGTATTCGTCACGAGAGACCTTCAATGTAGTCACCAGCAGCACAGATGTTAGTATTTCACAAGCTCTTATTACTGCTAGTGGTAGGTAGGAGTCCGATGGTAGCGGGTTCGATTCCTCGCACGGTACAAAGATTTGTTTTAGTGTATGATTATTTGTATCGGTCTGGATGTTTCCAAAATACATAAATTGTGTAAATATTAAAAAAAATTGTAATTAAGTATTTACATCAGTTATCTAGTGCCCGTTACATAAGCTCTGCTTAGCTTGGGACTAGATGGAGCTGTGTAAATTTTCCTAAGATATTATTGTTAATTTTATATTTCCTTAAATGTTATATAATTCCTTTTAATATTATAAATAAAGTTTATAGCAGTTATTTTAAACAGATTGAGCTGAAATTTTATACAAATATTTAAATTTGAAATTACAGAGTATGCACCTTATTCTTCCAGAATAACGCCATGGAAGTCTAGCGGTTTAGAACCGCTTTACTACAAATACTAAACCTTTTGAAGTATTTCTTATATATATGAAGTACTAACAGTGCAAACTCAGCTTAGTTTGCTACTAGATGACACTATGTGAATTGTCATGAGTTATAACTCATTTTGTGTGTTAATAAATGGTATTAATGTGTTTTGTTAAATTTATTCCTTGTTACAGGTATTAACTAAGAACGAGAAACCAAAAGACTGTAACAGTAAATCTAAGGCTCGCTATAAGGCTGTATTCATCAAAAGCATACAGCAATTCACAAGGCATCCCGGGTATGTTATAAGCTAAGTCTACACCAGTGCTTTCATGTTCAATTTTCGCTTCGTCTTACGTCAGACGTTGTTCGCATACAGCTTATTATTCATATCTGTGCACTTCCGTTTGTCGTTAAGTACGAAGGATACAAAAAAACATATAGATTTTTAAAAAAAATCAAATCAGCAAAGACAACGTCTAAAAAATTCACACGAATGTCTAAAAGGCAATTTCTATATTTTTTTGATATGATCAATTCAATAACTTAAATATCTAACTATTCTTTTTTTATTAGGAATATTTAACATTCTACATATATTACTACTAACTACTAGGTAGTTATTTATACAGTTTTAATACTAGTTACCAATACAATATTGAGTGATTACTGCATATCGAATGACCTATTTATATTGCGTTTTATTTTCTGCAGTGGTCTAATATTTTCCGTGATATTCCCCATTCTGCAAGTGGTGGCATTCTTCTCCGCCGTGGGCCACGACCCAAGAGATCTGAAGATCCCTCTTATAAATGAGGAGGCAGCTTCCTCGCCATGTAAGTAAAAATTTGAAGGTTGTAGATATACTTACAAGAGTAACAAAAATCTATTATAGTTATATATTTTAAGCTTAAACTAACACGGCCAGATTCGAACTTTGGAGTCTCATCGGGTAGCCAAACAGGTACACAACGTACGCTATTTTTATAATTCCAGCGATATAATTTAGGCTATATGTTGATCATGATTTACTAAGAAATTGAAGGTCATGACTACTAAGGAGTAGAGATATTGTTACACGATGTATAAAAACAATGCACAAATTGAAGAATTGTAAATAACAATTAATATAAGTAATGCATAACAAATGGAATGTTCTCATCTCTGCATTTTTTATGGTATTGACTTAGACTTAATTAGATCACTAGAACTATTATATTTCCCATGCATAGACGCTATAACAATAGCATTTCGCAGTAGAATACCATAATTACCTGTTTATGTGATTTTCAATTGTTTTATTTTAAAGTAGGAAGATGGCAATTATCAACACGAACTTACCTACTTGCTCAATAATTTATTATATGAATTAATGCAGTAACTATTATAGATATTAAGTTAAAAGTTGATAAAAATAAATTATAAATATAAGTAGTAATTTGTATTAATAGGCCCAAAATACAGAATGCAAAATTATGAATCAATTCAAAATGTCAGAAATCAGTAGATATAATGTTCAGAATTCATGTAAAAATTGTATTTCGTAACCTCCATAGGCTTGGATAACTATTTACCAGATGGATTCTTATTATTGCCCTGGGTTATTTTTGTTATTATTATTACTATTATTTTAATGAGAAATTACTATAAATGCTTCTAAACTCTCTTCCAGATGGTCTGGATATATGTAAAAATAATAGTCTACAACCAATAACACGGCTAGAAGATGACATTTGCGAGTTTGACATGATCAGTTGTTGGTTTCTGGACGAAGTGCAGAAAAAATTATTACATCCAGTAAGTATCTATAGAATTGTTAAATAATCGAACGAAGGTATAAGGAAAGTAGAAAATTACATATTTGTACTTATTTATAATTATTATTCCATTGAAAGTCATCAACATGTGTGAATATCACAACATCGCAATGTATCGTGTAATATATAATATATAGGTAATGTATGTCCTTGATACTACTTATGTGTGTCATGTCATCTTTCAATTTTTCAATTTAATTATGAGGATAAGGCAGGGGCAGGGTACAGGGTCATGTATCTTTAATCCACTGGAAAAGCAACGTATGAGGTGTAACATAGACGTGGTATCACTACGACAAGTATAAGAGCCGAGTTTTTTTATTAGTTCTTCTTAGATCGAAAGCACACCGAACTAATGGTAGATTTGATATATCATAAGAGTCTGTAATAGATGTAGGTACATAAATACATAATTTGATTTGAATGCGACGATTGCCACATATTCTAAAATTCGAAAAATTGCTTGCCATACCGGTTTCATAAAACCAAACTTACACATATACAAAATTATTATGTAATGACTTTAATAAATCGGATTTGGTATTGATTGCAGCGGGTTCTTGTGATATCGATTTGATAAAATTACATCTTTTAAATTTAAATTTATAGTTGCCATATAACTCGACTGAAGAAGCGAAAAACTCGGTGCTACGGGCGAAGTATCACGGCGCGATGCACATCGGTCGCAACTTTAGCGAAGCACTCGCCACCAGACTTCGAGACGGCGATGTTGGCGACAACATCGTCGATGACAGCAATATTGAAGTCTGGATTGACACTAGCAGTGAGTATTACTACTAGCTTTGCACACACACCGCACCTCACTAGTGAGATAAAGTTTGGGGCCTCGGGACGAACCCCTTTGTATTACGCACAATGATAGTTGAAAACCTAGAACTTATTATTTAGTTCGCAGAGCTCGTTCTTTTAGTTCGTCAGCAAATCAAGTCAGAGAAAGGCACTAGTCTTGCTCACACACACACACACACACCTCTCTGGGGGATGAAATTTGGGGCCTCGGGACGAACTCCTTTGACTTGTGCGTAAAAGATAAAAACAGATCTCTTGCAAGTTCATTCTTCTAGCCCGTTAGCGCCCACATCGAGTTAGAATAGCAATAAATAGACTGGCCAACTTGTAAATTAGGTCCTGTATCTATTCTGAGATATAATAGTTTTATTTTTAACGGTAGATTGCAAATCCGAATTTTTAATTATTTAACACAAAACTCATTATCTCTCTATTGCTGTTCAATTATAAGAAGTAAGTATGCATTGGTTGCATTTATGAAGCTAGATCTATTTATCAATATGTATCTTGTTTGGCGAAGGGGATTGTTAGTAATATGGACTAATAACCTTATTGCTAGTAATATACCATGTCAGGTTGACCTGCACGCGATTCCCCCTGGAAACCATCGAGATAAATTCTTGGTGAATTTGTCACGATGGGCTAATTGACCTGACCTCATGCTCATCTTATCATCCTCCACTAGTGCCCCGCCTGCGTAAACCGTTAGAGTAGGCGGGTGCACCATTCCATTATATCCATAAAAAAATCGGTGCATAATTATATTATCATCCATAAGAAATGTATCTGGTAATAATGCACATCTTATTATACTCAGATTTTCAGATATCAAACTTCATTAAAACGCAACTAATGAAAGCGTATAAGGATTTCATGAAGCGAGCTATGATAGCTTGCGACAAAAATGAAGGCATGGCACAGGTAAGAACATCTTAATCGACCAAATTAAATACAATCTGACATGTGTCACACAGATTAAAATAAGCACACGCAAACATACACTGGTATTAATGCATTATATAATCTGTAATAGAATTAATGTAATTCCTTATACATTACAAATGTGAATTTTTGTTTTTTTTTATTAAATAAGCCATAATTTTATTATATGTAATAACTAAAGCACCGGTCACAAGAGCACTGCGTACATTGAATCATATAACGGAGCAAATAGATCTATTTTCTTGTTCTCTGAATGAGTTCACGAAGATCGCTTTATTTATTATAAGTTATAATTAATTTAAAAAATAATGTTTGCTGCACTATTGTATTAGGCTAAGACCTGTAAAAATAGATGTAAGTGTGGAAAAATAAATAAATAAATAAATAAATAAATAAACTAAGTAATTTCGATGTTATAGGGAATTCATTACTTTACCTGATCTTAATCACATAACTATAATTATTAATATGTATTTTTTTCATTACCGCTTATAATTTATATATTTCAAGTGTACATTATTATTTATATTATTATATATTTTATTTATTTTTATGTTATCTATGTAAAGTTTCAGACAGTGCCAGATATCACATTGTAAAAGGTAACATTCTCAACCATAAGGCCGCACGGGCCGTAACACATTGCTGCATACTTCAATTTTGCAAAACTAACCATAGAGTATAAATATCAATGTCCATTAATTTTAATTTATAATTACTATTATCAGCCTAGTCTATAACTATTTAAAGTCATTAAGTATTAGCTTTCTGTTTCAATTAAATAATATAATATATTACTGAAGACCATTCACACAGCGCCATCTAGTCCCCAACTAAGCGGATTTGTTTTATGATTATTAAACAACTTCCTTTAAACAGAAAAAGACCCATATCAATAAAAACAATTTATACTCATGAATAAATACAAATAGTATGGTTCTGGATTGTACCGTGCGAGTATCGAACCCGCGACCACCGAAAGTAAGGGGTTTGCTAAGCCACTATACCACTGAAGTCGCCAAATATTTGTTTATTTGAATAACTTTATGTTAGCAGCTTTTATGTTGGTTGCGTCATAAAAAATATGTCACTAATATCTTCAAATTTAACCGTTATTCTTTCCAATATGCAAAAAAATAATTGCGTTTTATGAATATATAAATAGATAGGCTATATCTACGAATATTATTTATCTATGAATATCACAACATGCACAATTTTTATTAAATTTGTATTTATTCTTGCAGCTTCCAGTTAATTTCCACGACCCAGTCTACGGAGATAAGGATGCACAATTCCAAAACTTCATGGCACCCGGAGTTATGATAACGTAAGTTGCCTATTGCAGATATGTCTAATATTAAATGAATAGGTTGTAAGAGATCACTTCAAGCAATAATAGAATATAAATGGGATGAGAAAAACTTATTACTTTAGTCCCCCAAACATTCTTTGATCTTCACTTTGGTTTCCCATTCATTATTTCACATTAATTTGACCAATGGCAAACAGCTTCCTATTTCCAAATATATCATTACTTGTTCTACTCAAGATAAGAATAGATTAGAAAATCCTTTATTCAAATAAACTTAAATTTAAGCACTTTTGAACAGTCATACTTACTCGTATTTTTTTAACCTACCGCTCATTCAAAAAGCTATCTCAACACAAAAACGGGCTAAAATTTTCATGTTGCTCTTTTGAACACATTTTATAGTTGAAATGTGAATACAAACTACCAACTAGCACTAATTCATAAAAGTCAAAATATTAAATATCAACACAATAAGATTATCTAAATTAGTCGTAGTTTAGCAAGGACTTATCCATTTTTTTAATTACCATCAGGATAATCTTTTTCCTGGCGGCGGTGGTGACGTCCACGCTGATGATCAGCGACCGTCTGGAGGGCGTGTGGGAGCGAAGCGCGGTCGCCGGCGTCAAACCCAAGGAAATGCTCAACGTTCACATTGTATTGCAGTCTGCAGTTATATTGATGCAGGTAAGCCAATTTTTACGCAGTTGGCAACGAGGCATAAATATGGAACCAAGAATACATATCTACATTGTGAAAACGGTTTTTAGACTTGGAGAATGGTTATTTGATAATTATATTGCTATATCTCAGTACCTTTATTACCCAAGCGGTTGACTCGTCACTTAAAAAAAAAGAAATTAGAAACACATACCAACTGCCATCATCCAACAAGATACCAGGCAAATACGTTTGTAATCTAGGATATGATCTATCTGCGTACAAAATTTCTTTAGAATCAGTCCAGTAGCTTTATTGCCAAAGAGTAATATGTACAAGGTCATAGTTGTTGTACAAGTAAACCTAGTGTAAACGACATGTATAAATTATAAAACTGAAAATTCCAAATATGCGACTCGTTTTAGATACTCTTTAAAAGTCCAACACCCACTTAACTTTTTAGAATACCCTCAAATTTTAAAAATAATGTTCTAAATACTTCTTCCAGACAATAGAAATGATGTTGCTAGCATTCGTCGGCTACGGGCTTGACTCCAAAGGGTCTCTGCTGACCGTCGGTATACTGCTATTCCTGCAAGGTCTTAGTGGGATGTGCTACGGGTTTCTCTTATCTATTTACTGCGGCAGCTTCACCATGGCTTTCTTCGTGGCCACAGGCAGCTTTTATCCCATGATTTTATTATGCGGTAAGGGCGAAAAAAATAAAAAAATAAAATAATTTTTACCATCCCAAGCTTCCACGTTCCCACTTTCCTGTCCTTTACATACACATCTTCGTAGATGGAACATTGTTGACTATGATCCTCATGGAAAACGCACTTGACATGTCAATATGTCCCTGTGTATATATGAATATAACTGAGAATGGTGCCTCTATCGTTGTCACTCTACTAGTGTCATAAATATAAATTGACTGACACACAAAGTATTTTCGTGTCAGCCAAATTCAAATTTAACACTCTTCGCGTCCTTTGTTATCCTTTTCTTAAATTTAAGATAATAAATATTAGGTATTTTGTTTGTATGTCTAAAACAATATTTTTTAATTTGCTAGGTATTCTATGGCCATTGGAGGGCATGTCGATGGGCTTGAGATATGTCGCCCTCACGCTACCCTTCACAATCCCCTCAAAGTCCCTCCGAGATATCATGGAAAAGGGGTACACCATCGCCGACCCGACGGTATACTACGGATTCCTGGTGACGGTGGCCTGGATCGTCATATCACTATTGCTATGTTTACTCAGACTGAAATATAAGAAAATGTAGTGTGGATAGATTTATTAATTTGTATATAGAATTATTGTATATATTTCCAGGATCAACCAAATCATTATGAATATATTTATAGATAATATATTGTAATATGTATATAGTACTTCCTAGTTCTTAATACATATTTTTTATAGAAAAATTGATCTTAGAACGGACAAATGTAGTCACAGCGATTAAAAATGGCCGTTAAACCATAAATAGATTCATATGTATTTTATACATACAGCTATACTACAATATTAAAACAGAACAAAGCATTCAGTTGCTGGTGCTACCAAGTTTAAAGGATATAAAAAGGGTTAGGGGTGTACTAGGACTAAAATTAGGCAAAAGAAGGTAAATTTTACCCTAATTTTTGTTCTTCACTATCAGTTGATACCTAATTTAAAAATAGCTACCCTAATATACTTACCACAGGGAATTGTAGTATACATAGATTATAACGCGTCAGCATTTAAAAAATTACAGTAGAGATTTCCACTATTAAAAGTTCTTGAGTTATTTAGTTAATAAAAATTGAGCATAGCTCTACCGGGTAGCATGTATATAGCTTACTATATAAGTATAAATAGATATAGAAATTATCTTCTGGTAAGAATTTAATGGTTATACCGGTACGGTACGGAACTTACGGTAGTTTATAGGGATAGGAAAATATGATAAGTACATACATTTGATGTATGAATAATGTGATGATATAACAAGGAATCGTTTACCATGATAAACGGTTCTTTGTTTAATTTGTATCAAGAGTAGAAATTACAATTCCATTGGAGTATTGTAGTTTTGTTAGAATGGAATTCCCTTTTTATTGCAATGTTTATGTAGGTCCTACTCGCATCTTGTGACGGTAAACTGATAACGAGATCCAGGAACATTAGCCTTATAATATGGCATCCTTTGAAATAGTTATATTTACTGCGTATTTTCATAATATGTAAATGTTTTCACCTAGTAATGTTGATTTCTTAAAATTTATGTGTATTTAGAACAACATAACATTTTAGCATGTCTAATTTTAAGGGCAGTATATTTATTATACGGGCCCTAAATCATGTGTTTTATTTTAAATGCTTACATAAATGTAGATATTTATATTTATAATTTCAACTATTGTGTTGTTTAACATACTTCAATGTTTTATTTGTTTAGCATTGTTGCCAGTTATTTTTGTCACAACTTTGCCGTTATTTTAAGGTAGGTAGGTACTCGCGTGATACAAATTGTGATTTGTGGGTATTTATAAATAAAATATTAAATTGTTATTGTCTTTATTTTGCACTATTTATTCCTAAGTACTACCTGTCAATAGTTCAATTAATAATATACCATTATTAAAACGGGGGTTAATGGTAGGTTGAAAATTTAGGGTTGTACGTATTTTTAATTCAATAATTGTACTAAAATTAACTTGCAAATTACGGTAACTACAAAAATTTAATAAATTACGAAAATCAAAAACAACAAAAGAAATTAAATATTGTCTGTATTTAATAAAGTGATAAAAAAAAACACAAATTTTTTAACTTTTACATTTCAAATGGTATTTAAACAATTACAATCAATTTTTCTGTGCTCTTATGCAGAATAATTTCTGCTGTATAAGAGCACAGAATTTTTTTGTTTGTAGCCTACGGTTATCAAACCGTAAATGTTATCGTGACTTGACGTTATCATGATTGTTATGTCTGCCCTGGTATTTACAGTTAGCCTGAGTTGGCAAACAAGCTTTTCAACAACTATGTTTTTGTTTCCTTTAGCTTCTGAAGAAAATAATTAGATCGCAATCCGTTTTGGATGGTATAGAAAAATAAAACAGCAGAATCAGATATAAAAATTTATATTATAGGAAATATTTTGGATTAAACAACAACATTCCGTAAAGAACCCGCGCCTCCACTCCGCTCGCATCATGGCACATCAAATGAATTTATAGCAACAAATCGACTGACAAATGCACCCACCAATCTACGATTAAATATTGATATATATTATAGGTGCATACCAAAGATTACACCACGATAACAATTTTTCTGTTGTTTATGGGCCACGTAGTAAACCTTTTTTTTTCAACACCACATACATCGACAGAACAATCTAAAGACTGTATAAGTGCAAAGTGTCTAAGGCCTCAATAAATCTATCTACAAGCCAATACACACCTGTGTATGTATATAGGTTACCTCAGTATGTACATTTTACAACCTGCATCCACACATTATTATATAAATGATCATATTTAATTGGACTTGCTTATAGACAGTACAAACTAAACTGTTCAAAATGCAGTGCACACATGCATTTTTACACGGCTGTAAAAATGGGTGTAAAATAGAGCAGGTTCGTATATATATCGTAAATACATTGGCTGATATATGAGTTTATTATTATTTTGAAGCCTCGTAACGTAAAACTTATAAAATTGACTTTACTGTTACTAAATTTGAGCCCACTTATGATTTTTATCATACACTTACATACTAATAAAATAAGGTAGCAAAATTATCAGTACACGGCCATTATGTACGAGGTCAAATTGTACTAAAAATTGGAACTTTAATTTTTATTTGTCCAAGCGAATTTTGAACCTATCAACTTCTAATATATACCCTGGTACTGGTATATACCCAGCTACCAACCCGGCAAGGACAGTTGCGGCGGATGGGGCGCGAGTTCAGCACGATAGCACAATGTTTCGTTGTCAACAACCGGAGGTCGCCAGTATTCCGGAGAAATGTTCTAACCAACTTACAACTTGCAAACCTTATTGCGATATCACATTTAACAAGCAATCCGTTGATCCCTCGATACAGGAAAGAAAAAAAACATCTGATTTTATGTATTCACTGCCTGCGTTTTCACAGTTTTTCCTAACTATATACTAGACTTAAATAAGACGGTGTCTCGCTCGCACGCACACTTCTCAGTCATTCAATATACACGTCTCATTTACACACTTCGATATTTTACATCGACACTATCGGGAGGGGGGACTTAGTCAATTCCTATAATCCTATTATTGCTCATGAAGCAATTATCAATTATATGGTAGCTGCAAAGGCATATTTTTAACTATCACAATTTAAATTCACAGTAACCTCTCAGCTTGTGTTGCAAATTATAACTCAAGTTAAAAGGAATTGACCGGGCCCCTTAACAAAGAAAAAAAAACTAAAATTTAACACATCGTACAAAATCAATCAACATAAAAAAATATTACGGAGATTATTGTTAATTTAACAAAAGCTTGGTGCCTGAAAAATGACTATTACATAAAAGTTTGGGTATTTTGTTAAAAAATCAAACATTCTTAACATAAGGCGGTACAGAAAGTAATTACAAATTTCATATTTTAAAACGTTGAACATAATTTTACCATATTAAGCTTAACACAATTAAAGTACAAATATATATAACTCTGTACATTAATTATACGTGTTGTGACAAAATATTCTATATTTATATCAGGCCTCCATTCGTTCTATATATTTACATTTTACCATTGTTTAAGCTTTCTTACACAAATGCACATTGAAGACGAACTTAATCACAATTTTACGTAAGTATAGTCGTTTCTGGCACAAACATCTGGCACAACTTAAATGCAGTTCCTTTTTTTTATACGTGATTCGAAAAGGACAGTAACATTTTAGTAATACCACACGTGTGTGAGAGAATCGACAATTTGCCTAATCGCAGTTTTATAACATTTCATATGGTAAGGCATCGAGTTTGAACTTTCATTTTACTGTTCAACCCTCAATACCGTAGCGGTATACACTGATGTCCAATCGAGTGCATCTCACGATAATGTACACATTTCATCTCGCATAATACAATAATAAATTTACAAACAACCATTGCTACCGATGAATGTGCGAATTCATAAAACAATTACAAATACTAAAAAAAAATAGATAATAATAAATAAAGACTGATTAACAAAAAAAAAACACTACATACATAAGGCACGAGCCTGGAAATTAAAACCAGAATGCGCTTGCGCGTCATTTAAGTATCAAAATGTTAGGGCTGTGACACACTTTGCGAATATACGCTAATCATATACCTACTAGGATTTTCACATAACATAATCTATTTTCTTAAGTTTAACTTATTAAGTTTATTTATTTTTAGTTAAGACGTCTTATTTAGTGTTTTATTTGAAACATCTTTCATATACAGTTATATGTGTAAATTATAATATTCGTTTGCATTTATGACACGCAAATTAGTATTTAACACATCACATGCACTGTACTTAGAAAAATTGTCTATATCTAGTGACTGAACAACTACACTGCATATATAATTTAGAGTGGGATATAGTACAAAACACTTGTATATATATACCTATATCTTTACAGTCTCACTAATATAAATATAAAAATAAGGCGTGACTACATGTTGCCCATTAAATGGTTTAAAATTTGTAAGGTACAAGCCGTCAATAGGTCATGTGATAATAAATTTCACTGGATACTTATTTCGTATAGTGTGTCACAGCGCAACGAGCACAATTATCGTAATTCTATAAGATACAAGCTAAGCAATAAGGCGGTAACTTAACGTCATTTAGTGAAGTCGCCACTTCGCTTAGGTCGAGCTTGTTCAAAGCTTCTCGATATTACAAAAACAGACTGTATTTTGAACGATGTTTTAAGAATTGTCTTTTATAAATTATTTTAACACGATTTGACTTATTGGCTAAAAATTGTAGTTCTTTTGAAATGAAAGCAAGCGACATATTGCCTAGGATGTGCATGTCATATGATATTTTACACAAAATACATAGTCTGACTATATTCAGAATCGTTAATTGAACATTGAGATCTCGATCAGCTATGAATTTGTATGGTTTACACACTTTTTTTATTCATACAGTTTCGATTAAAATATCGTACTCTCAACCATTTGGCAATCATATTCTGATTTAGTCTGTAAAAAAAACACTTGTTTAAGTTTTAGGAACGGTGCGATCTACGAAAATTTAATATCAACTGTATGAATAAATTCGCATATGTTAATATTACTGCGGTATTGAGAGACAGAATTCACAATATAAATAAAAAATTGATACAAACATTGACATCACACAATAACTAAATTCGACCCTATTTGATTTTGTTAATACCAAATATTCGTACACTTGCAGCTTGAAATGTAGATATAGTATACTATTTTACATATATATATATATACACGAATATTAAAATATATTTTATTTTGCCCTCAATTGGGACCTGCGTAAATTAGAAACCGTATAGTGTCACGAATATACGACGATTTTGGTGAATCAAGAATATATAAAAAAAAACGAATATGCATATCAGTTAGCTGAAAACGGCACTGATATATTACTAAAGTTTTTGACTAAATATTGAAGACTTATAAACATATTGCATTTGATTCAACTAAGTACAAATTTGTTTTTTATTTTATGTTATGTCAGTTTTAGTGTCAATACAATAAATAATTCTACTGCTGCATTATACAGACAATCCATGTCTCTCTCGCAGGCTTTTAACATAATTTCATAACATTATCGCACTTGATTTCTGATTTTTCTTAACGCCAAATGTTATATAAATACAGAATAAATATTTTACATTTCAAGCATCAAGGTACAGTGTCCATTTGACAACTAACTAATCTCATGTGACATTGTAAGCATCACTTATGTGGTTAAACAATAAATACTATCGCTTAGAACCTTAAGTATGAAAAGCGTATATCAGAGTTAATTAACGGACTTAGATTCTAGCTAACTAATTATTGCGTCATATTATATGGCAACATTATCTAGTCACTGGTAAGTTTATCCAGCTAGTCTATGATCGTTAAAAAGAAGTTATTAATAAATTTATGCACCAAAAATGTAGACAGACGAACTAACAACACATGATTGATTGAAACAGATAAATTTAATAACTGTTAATATTAAAAACAATAAAACTAACCAATGAGGCAAGAGAGCAAATAAAATTTTAGAAAAACATCACTCATAAAGCACTTATAAAAGAGGTTAAAACATCAAAAGTATTTTTGTTATCGGTACGAGTTGTAGCCACAAAATACGACGCAATACATCAACAACACTGCAAAGGCAGACGTCAATAGTGGTTTGAGCGTGTTAAGAAGTTGTATTTGTGATGTAAATAGTGTCAAACAAAGCATGTTCTTATTATATGCGAAAACTGATTCCTTCATACTACACGTGTATGCCATGACTTTTTGTCACTGGCAAGCGAATTCACAATACTAATCTTCTCAAACTTTTTCACTTAATCTTGCTTCGCATATATGGGAAATGAATACATGGTAGTTATGTTTAAAAATATATATTATTCCTCGGAACCAGACAAACATTTGTTAAAATTTGATCTTTCTACCAACAGTACTAACCCTATTGACAGCTGCCGCAGTTTACACGCCAAAAGTAAGGAGGACATCAATTCGTTGGTTCTTTTTATAAAATTGTACTTCCTAAATTCGTGGCGCAATATGGAAGAGAACACGCCTATGACGTACTGCATCTCTGTCGTTAACGGTGCGAGTGAAAAGGAAGACGCAAGTTTTACGCCTGCTCTTTTTACCTGTATACAAAACATATTTACTAAACCATTGTCGATAATCTGTTATTCTAAGGCTGTGATTTAAAGCGACGGATGGAATTCTTTTCGAAATCTCTATAAGGACGATATATTGTAAATTGTCATTAACATTGAGCAGGCCATGTGTATGTAATTCAAAAGAAACACATGTATGAATTGAGTATTAGTCCTAATTTGGTCCTATATGCCCCATAAAATAAAAATCCTAACACACACTACTACACACTAACACATGCAAAATTCACACATATTCAGCAACATTTTTCAGTTACAATTTAAATTATATAATTATATGTAAATTGATTAAATTTTGGATGGCGTTTTGTGGATTTATGGATTTATTTCCTTTACTTTGTTTTAGAAGGGTCAAGAAAGTGTGATTATTAGATAAAGTAAATTTAGACATGTCGAAAACTATTTACTATATTTATATGGGGGATATGGACCAAACCGGATAAGTACAGTCTCCAACAAAAGCAGATGAATATTTCACATAATATTATAACACAATGCGATTTTTACTGTTTATAAGCGACAGGTACAGTGTTCAAATACTTCTATTGCCAGATTTACAAAATTGAACGTGGGACGTAGAAATCCGCGCAATAGAGTGCTAGTCCTCGCTTACCTAAGGCCAGTTATCTATGCAGAGGCGTTGGCCCGCTAAAATTTGTCTTGGAAAATAAACAAATTGTTCGTCGCGGCGACTGCTATGATACTCTCGTGTGGATGCCACGCTGTGTGGAGGATCTTTTTGTTGAAGTCAAGGCAGTCGACGCTTATTTCATCCTGGGGATAACATAATGTGTTATAATGACGCTCAACAGCTGGGAATCTTATAACTATAATAAAGTGAATAAAAAATACATAATAGGTATAAATTTTTAAAATCAGACTTAAATGTAATATTACATTTTAAATTCATCGACCATAGACGTTAGTATCGTGTATGCTCTATATGTGCATTTTAGTATTTGTAAGTAGTTAAGCATGTTTGAATGCGCGCAAATGCGTTCAAGTTTGTACGAGGACATTTGCGTATTCGTACTACTGTGTCTACGACAGATACATTAACATAAATAATTAACCTTAGACATTAAAGTGTGTGCATGAAACGACTCAGTACATTCAAGTGTATTCAAATTTGTGCAAATAGAAAACTATTGGCGGCCTCCTCAGGGGAACAGCGAACGGTGGAATTTCTCAAACAAATGTTTGTCTCTTGAAGCCTCTTTATTTTCTCTACAGAAGTTTTACAAATATACATTGGACTGTGTATAAACAGACCTGTGCTTCTACGAACACGAATGACTGTGTGTGTGTGTGTGTGTACGAATATGGTGTCTTCGTGTGTATGTGTCTATAAGAACCCGTATGCGTGTGTGTACGAACACGTGTAGCTGTGAACGAACACGTGCGTGTGTATGTACGAACACGTATATGTGTGTGTGAACGAACACGTGCGTGTGTGTGTACGAACACGTATGTGTATGTATACGTGTGTGTGTGTGTGTGTGTACGTGCACTCGGAGGCGTGTGGCGTGTGGCGTGTGGCGTGTGGAGGCGTACCTTCTTCCTCTTGGCGGTGGCTGCGACGCGGCGCGCCCGCAGCGGCTGGCGGGGCCGCGCGGCCGCCTCGCGGGACGCCTCCAGCGTGAGCTCGGCGCGCCGCCCGCCCGCGCCGCCCGCGCCCCCCGCGCCCCCACCGCCCGCCGCGCCCCGCTCGAACACCCTACACCACGTCACAATAGTATAGTAATACATCATCGATTCCGACTACGACCTCTACGCTGCAGGTAAATGATATAATACAAAAATTACGTTCAGAAACGGCTCCAATGTCCCACACGGATAACTGATATTTTATTTAATTCACCCGGTGGTCGAAATTAGACTATAATTAATTTAACATTCAATGAGACCATAAACGAATAATATTGATGATAAACAATATTATTCTCATCTCAATTCGACCACAGATTTTAATATAAACTAAACTGTCTCGGATAATGTTTTTTTAAATTAATTTACTGAATTTTAATGCATAATTAAAAAAAAATATTAGCATATTTTTTTTAAAGATAATTCATTATTACAGTACAAATATAACTTATTACCTAAAGAATCCATTATACGAGCCGGTCATAAGCCGGTGGTCATCACCACTCCAACAGCACTCGAACTTGTCGAAAATGCAGTCATTCTCGTACAACGAACACAGCTTAGAGCGGAGGTATTCGTGTACCTATGAAGAAAAATGTACATAAAATATATAGCTCAGCTGTAAATTAAATAATTAAGGAATTATAAATACTAAAATACTATTGCTATAATGCATCAGATATCCAATAAATAATAATAATATTGCAAAAACTTTTAATGAATTAACAGGATAAAAACAATTGAAACTTTGTGAAATTACCATTATGTTAAATTAGCAAATGTTTAAATAACCTATAGACACAATTAATATCAATTATTCAACACTTACTGGATATGTTTCTACAGGTTTTGTCTCCATTCTAAGATCCCATACTTTTAAACCTAAATAGTCTCTCGACATCATATATCTGTAAAATAATGAAAGCAATTTTAATTAAACATTCTTTAATCTATAATGTTTTAATAACAATATGAGCAAGTACACCAGAGGAGGTTGGGATAATTCTCTCTCGTTACTACGCACAGCTCTCTCCTCACAAAAATAGAAGCAAAGATCTCTGATACATAGATTAATAAATTACACCGACCTGCCAGAGTTGCTGAGCTTGACATCACTGATAGATGATATGATCTCGGAGAAGAACGATCGCGCGTGAGGATCCTCCGGTTCTTCAAACAGTTTGGCGTGGCGGTCGCATAGCGCCGCCGCCCGCATGTCACACAACCGAATCGTACCTAACGACAAAGTGAACAATAAATGTTCTGTCTCTATACAACTATATTTTTTGTAAGTATGAAATTAATGCAGAATTATACATCGAATTTCCAATTGACTCCTTTCTCCGCCTCCTTCCATTGACAGGGTTTTTTTTACTGTGTAGACTTTATATATACTCGGCTGTATTGGCTCCTCTCCTTGTATATCAGCCGCCAAGCAATTTGCTTTCTAAATTATTTTTCGGATGAAGGGTGATATATAAGTCCTACTTGGCAATACATGAGGGATAATAATAAAACGAGAATCATATGATAACATAAAACCTATAAACATTATTATTATTAAAAATCTCTACTCACCCTTACTACTAGAATATACAAAGAGATTACACTCGGTTGGATGAAACTCTGCAGCGGTAATGACCTGAAACAATATAATTTTAATTTATAAAATTACATATTATAATATATATTTTTTTTACAGATATTAGAAAACACATACAATTTATTTTACAATGCTTATCACATTTAATTCTTGTTATGTTTGGAAAGTTTAACATAATACAAATTGATAAGGATTTATTTTAAAATTTCAGAATATGCTCAACTTAATTTTATTCTGTACAATAAAAACATATGAACAGCTAAGCATTTTAACCATAGAAATGTTAAACAACATCAGTGACTAATGAGGTGTGGGTGTGGACAGCACTGTTGGCCATGGTAAAGCATTTTTTTAAATTATTCAAGTCGGAAATAATATGCGGACGGTCGTAGTTTATAAAGAGCTTACAGCAAGTGCAAATTACGTAATGAAAAAACGTAAAGGCAAGCCATTTTCATTAAGAATTTTTTTATTTTAATTTGTTGCAGTTTCACCTAACAAAGAAACTATATACATCACGCTCCTAATTCGCGAAATAAGTTTTGGAGCGGTTGCAGGCCACCTAACGAATACGACTTCAGGCGGATTGAACCTCGGCTCAGGTCGTCAAACTTCGATGCTCATTTGAATGGGACAGAATATAGATCGGAGGCGAAACTTGTCGGCCACCGACGTCCGATATGATCCACACTTAACTTATTTTGTTGTCAAAAGTGTTAATTACCTCTGTAAGCTCTTCCATGTTCGCTGGCTTGATGTCCACTATGTTAAAGCTCTGGTCGGTTATTTCTAAATGCCACAGGTTGATTCGTAGGTCGTCAGCAGATAGGTATGTCTCCTGGTCCGAATTGAGCGAGATCGAGTTTATGTGGTAAGTGTGAGCATTCGCGAATATTCTCCTAGAACAAATAATTGTATATAATATAAGTGAAATAACATTATATGAGTTTGTTTTGGACTGAAATTAGATATTGTAAAAAGAGGTTTGTAACAAAGTGAATACATTAATCGCCATAAATAAGTCCAGAAAGTTGCTCTAGCTAGTTTCTATTCTTTTGTGACCTATTGAGTCATAGAACAAGTGCATACAGATTCCATACTACTGCTCCTAACCATATCCTACCACAAAAGCAGCCTCCTTCCTTTATAAACTTTCAAAATACCAAATTCCTTTTCAGTAAATTGTTTCGTTTTGGCCATTTCTTACAAGATTTCCTACATACCAAGATGTAGAATACAAAGACGGCCGGTTTTTTTAGAAATTTAATTTTTTTTTAATTTTAAGATGAAGCTTATAGTATAGTCATATGAATGTAAACTTATTTGACCCCAAATAATGACAGGATAAGGCAGGCAAAGCATGATAACACAGAGATTTGCTATACAAAGTTGTCTATCGCTAATTAATTCAGCAAAAGCAGATTTGTCAACATGCAATCAATCTCCGGGTTAAAGAGAGAGATAGTGACATTACATAGTAGTGTGACCTAAAATGTTTATTTTACAGGGGTTAGCGACGCATGAGTGTTTGTTTGGTTTTTGTATTACGTTCCTCCTCCTTTCAAATTTCGTTCCTAGACGTTAGTAAAAGGAGACTAAAGGAACAAAACCAATACATTGTAGTATGAATATAAAAGAAGGAAACACAAATTAAATCTCTAAGTATAATAATAGGAGATAACGTTGCCAATAATAATATGTTAAGATGGTGATGACGTTGCCATGACGATTATATAACAACAATGGTTAATTGAATAAAAGCGATAAACCGTCCAACTTGAACATAAAGGTCAATTTCCAACAACAATCTTCCCACAATATAATTACTTCCTCACGATAAGAGAAGTAAAATGATAATAACAAACAAAACTATATGAAAATAATTAATATTAACGAGAATAGCAAATCCTGTTATCTGTTGGTAAATAAACACGAGAGTGTTTGATTTGCAATCCACATGCAGATAACAACTTGAGCAAACATTTCGAAAGGTCATATTAATACTTCAAATAATAATGAAATTATTCAAGTGGCAAAACTTGCTCTATATTTTTATCAATAAAAAATATGGATGAGTGATGACAAAGGTTAGATGGTCTATAATTGTAAGCGGTAGTCACAGGAGACGTCTAAAATTGCCTGATTGACATGGTATTAATATTATACGGATATTTTAAGATCTCATATTTCTCTCGCTCTAATTTAATGCTAATTAGCGTTTCATCTAGATTATTATCCATTACCAGCAATAAGACCAAATTTCTAGTAATTACAAAATTCCTAATAAACATGTGCGAGAATTTCATGAACTTACTATATTTTCCTTTTTAGCAATAAATGTTTCTCAGGCCAATTCAATAAAAATATTCAATAAATTGGTTTAAAGTGGATATTGGAGCATATGTTACCTGGGCGATGCCTCGACCATGAGTTCTGCAGGGCGCACAGTGGGCACACGCAACTGTGTGATGCGCGTTGGATCCCGCGGCCTTCCTCCCTCTTCGCGCGTGTTGTAACCAGTGACGCGCTTGTCGCGCTCCGACACCTTCATAATAATAATAATATGCTTTATTTGTATATACCATAATATACATCATTTAAAAGGAGCAATATAGAACAGTTCAAGTTATTTCTAGGTAATCAAATAGTAGAAAGTTGTGTAATACAATATGAGGATCTTGATCCTCATATTACACCTAAACTGTTGGTATCAGTGCTCTCTTGTAACATACACTGTAAATTACTTTGCACACAACATGTAACACGTGTTTTTTTTTATGAATGATGGATCCAGTTTCAACTAACAACAAATATAAAAAAAAATTAACGGAATATAAAATTTCTATAATCTATAAATAAAAAGCTTATCAGAAACATGGTCAAAATTTTATTTAAAAAGAAAGTCCCTAGAATAATTGCAACATGTGAAACCATGAAAAATATTTTACGACTATTTTACACTATTTTGGTGGAGAAACCTAGCAACAATTTGATATTTTATAAGTATAAAATTATATGTGAAGGTTCTAAGTGTTACATGTTATGTATGAAGATAAGCATCATTGACACGTAGATATGTATAAGACAGAATATAATTTAGTGAAAACACGCCGGTGCGTAGTGTTTCCATTAAATACAGATCGATACAATACCGCGCACCGATAGTGTGTTATTGGAATTAGATTTTCCCTTCGATTTTTATCAGACTTACAAATCATCAGACGATAATGTTGTTAGAATTCTAAATCATTGTGGAGGGAGACAATATCAAAATCAACGAGTAAATGAAGCATATATATAAAAGTATAAGGTTAGTTATATATAATATAAATAACTAACCTTATACTTTATACATTTGTATGCTTTATCGTTTAACTAACAGAACATGTGACTTAATTTATGTAATACCTCATTTGTACAATGTTAGCATATAAAGTTTTTTATTACTAATAACCAATTTAGCTAATTTAATTTCATGTTAAGAGTTCCTGTTAAGATTTTCTCAGTCAATATATTCATCCATACTAACATCACAAATTTGAAAATGTGCATGTCTGTATGTTTATTTGTTAACTTATTACGACTGAATTAAATATGACGTGAAGATAATTCGGAATATATATATATATGTCGTCGCGTTAATGCTAGTCTATAAAATGCTATAGTTGATAGATGGCGGAAATTGCGAATAGTGTTACATACTATATATAGAAGTCTTGGTTCCATTAATATATCAAAAGTTGACAGAACAAGCCACGGCTGTTGCAAATCTCAATCAACAATAGGAAGCAATAGTAGTAGTAGCTTCATAAATGGCTATTAACACCATTTACCGTCTATTGTTTTCATAAATCTCAATATAAGAGAACAGTATAAATATATAATTTTCTTCGTCGTCACATCTATATATTAGTTATCAGCTACTAGCCGCGACTTCGCATGGGTTGCTGGTTTTGTCGACCTCTTTACATATTACATATACAAACTTATTAATCCTTTTCAGATTAGTTAAAAATAACAAATATGCAACTTTAAATTCTATTATAAACAATAATTCAGCAAGTTTGAAGTAGATCGGAAACCGCAATAAAAAATTTGATAAACAAATTTCATCAAGGTCTGATCTACCGTTTATTTAGTCAGGAAACTGTAACAGACAGATAGATAGATCGACAAACAGACATTCGCATTTATAATTTTAGTATGAAAGTGTGAATAACTTGAATAAAAGAAGTGGAGGAGAAACAAAGTATCAATAAGTAGATTATTTTGACCTTCCTAATAATAGAAACCATTGGACACTTGGAGCAGGGCTTTGCTGACAGATACTGTAGCAAATAAATAATATAAGTATGGAAATAATGTCCGTTGTCTGAGTTAAAGCTATTCCTAATATACTGACCTTCCATAATTTAATAGTTTTGTCGTTAGTGGATAGTAAAAAGTGCGCTTGATTCTTGCGCTTCAGCCACCTAATCTTATTGATCTTCTCCTCGATTTCCAAAGATTTGAGGTAATCAAACTCCGGCTCGTGTGACTGGAATGTCGAGTACACGTTGTACTCGCCCTTCTTGGGAACACATTGTTTTGATGCTGGATCTCTCTGTAAACAATACAATTACAAAAGATTTTTTATTTGACATATGTAAGTGGTCTAGCTATTGATAAGACCGCCATACTACTGATGGACGGTATGTTATGTATGTATATTAAAAAAACCGTTAAATATTTCTTATAATTAGATATTACTATAAGTAGTTTAGTATCCATAATACAGGCTGTAGCTTAGTTACGAACTGAATGGCGCTGGTTTGTCCTAAGTTATTGTTATTTATTGACAGACAAAGAATTCCAGCATCTGTTACAAAAATCCTCATATCTCTACTGTAGTACAACCTCTAGTGTTGTTGTATTCATTATATGGAGACATGTGAATTAAAACCAATGTTACAAAGAGTTTTGTATAATAAGGAGATTAACGTCTGGAACCAATATACCTACATTAAACATTCTAACATTTTAAAGGAATATTACATACAAAGGTATAAACTATAGTATAATATTTATCAACGTGGACTATGGCGGGATGAACTAAGAATAAATAAATATATAAAACATGCATACATATATAAATGATAACAAAAATTCTATACATTTGTCTAATGCTCAAAATTGGCCACCACAAGTTCGGTAAAATAAAGTTTATAGGAATTCAATGCAAGAAATGTAGGGAAAAGTGGTATGATGTAATTATTTAAATATGTCACGTTTACAACACAATTAACTATTAATTTTACTAATGGAAATCATTATGAAAGCGTACTAATAAGACTATTTAAAAGCTATTAACAAAATCTTAGAATTCTATAATAAAAAAATAATTATCATATCCATGGAGAAAAATAATATACCGGATGACAATTAGATCATGGACAATTAGGGCTTTGCTATGTTTGATTACTAAGCAATTGGAATTTTCTCTAAAATTTTTTTTATATATCTATATATATTACAAAAGCATAGAAGAAAAATGAAATATTTCCTATTTATTTAGAATTTTATTTATACGTACAACTGTAGAATACACAATAATAAGATAGTTATTATTATACGAATTTATTTTGAATTTTTACCAATAATTTATTTAATAAATATTTAAATTTCGTTAAACATATTTTTAAAAGTGTCGCGGGAATTGCCGTTTCCATTTTTCAGGGATCCCGATGTAAGTCCGAAATTTACTATAAATTACCAGAAAAAACATAAACTATTTAGACGTAGTTATTTCCTTCACGACAACACAATGTATAAAGTTTTGTAGTAAAAAGGTTCTTGACCTTTTATTTTCCAGTTTATTTGGGTTTCAAACAGGTTGCTTGGCGTACGTGATTATAAACATGTTTTATAGGTAAACAACATACTCAACAAAACATATACTACATATTTATAATATTTGACATGACACACGTCATCTACCTACATAGTGAATCGCGTATTGCCCAGTAGGGTAGAATCAATAAATTCTACAACACACAAAAGTAGTGGATTTAAATTTCAAACTAAACCTCCAGTGCTAACAAACTTCATTACTGAAAAGTTGAATGTTATGTTCATCACAATAGCGGAATTCTGAAACAGTCTAACTAAACTGTATGACATGAGAAAAATTCATATTTAAACTATTATCAAAACGTAAACTGTAAAAAACTAATTTTTGTTGCCTAGTACAACTCCGTAATGGGTAGGGGAGGGGGGTTTGTTAATAATCTGAATTAATAACCTCATTGGTAGCAATGTGTAATTGCTAGTAATGTGAAAACCATCGTAATAAATTCCTCATGACCTAACCTCATGCTCATCTTATCATCCTCCACTGGTGCCCCGCCAGCGTAAACCGTTAACGCAAGCGGATGCACCATTCCATTATCATCAATAAAGAAAAACTCCGTGATGAATAATTTTCAGCTAAATAATAATCGAGATGCCAAATAAGTTCTGATCTCGATGGATTCTCTCGTCGCATTTCTTTATTCAAATTTTCACCGAGGTATACTTAGTACAAAGTCGTATACGTGGTACATCTGTACACACTCCAGCCGCCAAGCAACTTGCTTTGCAAGACCTATTTCGTTGAACGAGGTAACATGGCAGTAAAATTACAATCTACAGAGGCACAACAACCTAGTCCTCCGAAATGGTAGAGCATGACAGATACAACAATCGTCGATGACATGACATCCATCCATATATTCATATGGTTGTCACTTACAATGAGCTATGCGGATAGCTTGGTTGCTAGTTATATAAAAGTTTCTAGGATCATTGTCCAGTTAGTACCTCCTGTTCGGTGGTACTATATGTTGCATTGTCACCGAACTTTCCAATAAGCAAGATACGCAATACCACATATTATACGCAGGTTTATACGACACAACCCTTTAAGGAAGTTAAGGCAAAAAGTAACAAACTTGAGTAACCACTTTCACTTCTGTGAACGATGTAAATTCACATATTACATATTATTTGGAATCATCAATTCTTAAAATATTCTAATGAAATAATAAAGATGATTTTTTTGGATGTAAATCATTTATATAACGCCATTGCCACTTTATTAATGAAATAACATTGACAAAAATACTTTCACACCTTAGGAGGTTTCTTATCTTTACCCTGTATCTCAATCTACAATCCTCGAGTTGTTTTTATGTCTAACCTTAACATAAGCAGTCAGTTTTCGTGTGCATTTTACTATATAAAAAATAAACCACTTTTTAAGCCATTATGAGAAGAATAGTTATAAAAGATTAATGTAATGTTTGTATGTGAATATCAATAGCACAAAACAGTTAACAGAATTAAAGTACCCGTCACGGTAAAAATCATATTTATATCATTTCTACCATTTAAACAATAGCTTGGGTATTACAATGCAGTGGCAGTTATAAGGCATACTTGCATATAAAATGAGACATCAAGACGTTCCTTGCATTGTGTGAATGTAACTGGTATCGTTTTATAATATACTAGTTATTACCCGAGGTTTATTCCGCATAGATTTTGACTTTTTTTTTATAAATAAAATTTCTTAAGCTAGTTAAAAATAATTTAGCACGTCAAGTGGTCACTTTAAGAAAAGTGTACTCATATCACTAACTCACCTGAAAAATAACAACTCGTCCTCCTTTATCGCCGGTGGCGAGGAGTTCGCCGTCGTGGTTGAACTCTACGCACGATATGAGGTCAGCCTCAGTCACATCGTCCTCTAGGGTGCCCTTCACCTGACTGAAACACCACGTCGTCTCCCCACCATTGCCTGTAATAACCACCAAACTTCTAAATAATAAGCAGTTTTTCAGAATAACGCGGCCCCGCTTAAATCAAAATAGTGAAAATTATTGTTTTCTATGCATGATATGCTATGCTAAATCTTCTCTATTTATAAACCGATTTTTTGATAATTTAATTACGATATTTCCGAAAATCCATATTTATCAAAGTAAAAGCCATAATAGTGTAATATTTTTTCATTTTATCGTTTTATAATGAATATTTTACAATGATGATTGGGCTTAATCATCATTGTAAAATATTCATTTGGAAAAATACAAAATATTTTATCATTTATGACTGTATTCGTTTATATAAAAAGAAATTGAACCAAAATTTTTGTGCTACCTAATTAAACATCTTTTGACATACTCCTAGTAATCGCGTACTTACATCTATTCTCGTTTTTAATATTATTTTTATGTTTAAGAGGTCAAATAATTTAGTAAAACTAAAGAAAGTTAGTAAAGGGATGCAAAATATTTAAAGGAAAGAAAACTGTAAATACAATAAACTAAGAAACAATTATTTTCTACGTAAAATATCACGCCTTCATTCAGGAGAAAGCAATGGAAGAAGGATCACAATTTTGGAATGACATACAGAATTATAATGTAAAAATTAATAACTGTAAACCAAGTAGTAAGTTATTCAAGAATACATCTTATAAAAGTTAGTCCTAACACTATAAGTTATAAAAAAATATTTGGCTCTCGCAATGGTTTTTGTAATTAATATTTACTAATATATTAATTCCCTTATTTAGAAAAATATGACAAGTGATATGTGTGGAATACAGACAACGGTAAAACAAGAGTAAATTTTAATTTATAAACAAACATTGAAAAGAAACCTTACTAAAATTCACCACATAATACTGAAAACTTAAAAAAAAACACAATAAGACACCTTTACCTTTCTCAAAGCTATAATAGTAAATTAATAGTGTAACATATAACATAGACATCCATCCCTTACACAAAAGTCATACTTCATCCATTTTCACAACAAAACTAATAGATTAGGTACATAGAATCCTGACTTATGCATTATAGAGTACTTAAAGAGAATACATCTTAAAATCTTAAAATGTAATATTCATACAAAAAATAATTTCTTCAAGAAATATTATATGAATATTATAAATTTATAAATCAACCTGTGTACATACAATCACAAATTGTGTTCCAATGCAAACGACATGAGTTGTGTCTCCAATTGAAAAAATTATCTTGAATTCGTATTCTGTGATTTGAATACCATGGCACTTCCCTTTTTTTAAGCATTTCTTATAAAACATCTACAGTTATAACTACTATCCAAGACATTGAAATTATTTAAAAAAAAAAACAATTTTTAATGTGTAACACAATTTCTCTGACACATGTCACAACTAGGAATGACACACGAAAATAAAATCCCTAAACCAGTTTTCAAATAAGTAGCCAAGTGAATAGTAATTTTATATTGTTGAATAGTATAAATGTTGTAGTAACATAATATGCTCCATTATTCTTATAAGGGACAAGCTAAAACAATAGAAATGAGTATAAAAGGACCCTTGCATGATGCAGTTGAAGCTACCAAGAACAATATAAATGTATGAAATAAATGCAAACATACACATTTAGTCTTAGAGAGTATACCAACTTGAAAGCTGTGCAGTCACCTGATTGTTGGTAAGACCCAACATATATACACATTTACAATTGGATCCTTGGAGAATATATAGTTCAATACCATAAGTATTAGCATGGTCTTTAAATTTTAATGCACAAATACTTATTGTATATATTGAATATATAATATATATTGAATTGAGAACATGTGGTGATTTTAACACCAAAGAGAATACTCTACCAATCAACCATAAGGAAAATTGAATATTAAACATTGAGAATTAGTAGCCCATTATGATTTACAAATATATGTAGATTTTTTTAATAGACACATACTATGCCAACTCTATATAAATAAATGTACTATGAAGATAATATACAAATAACATATTTATTGTTAATTTAACATCTCGAAAATATACCAAACTGATAGTAGATTTGACATATCATAAGAGTCTGTAATGGATCAACATGAATTAAATATTTTGTTTTGATTTGAATGAAGTAATAAAACTTGAAATCAAGGGTTAGTGACAGATTTCCTTATATTAGATTCTTCAATTAATTTATGAATAATAAAATCTTGTCAGTCAATTGAATTTTACATTACATTTAAAAACATGTTTCTATTACTTTACAAGTAAATAAAAACCTGATAGCAAAAGACTCGCTGAAGTAAATCAACAATACATATTTGATTATATTGAATATTTCCTGTTGAAGGCTCAGTAATTTTCATAATTAGATACATGTTAATAATAAACATATTGTAGACCAAAATATTTAGAAGTCTACTATCAAAACAAATGAATGGCAGCAATCTTTAAAAAAATAAAATTGATTGTTACTATTAGAATTTGATTGTTACTATTAGAATTATTATCATTAATATGTACAATAAATAAATATAATTATAAAATGAAGACCATTTCCTTTTTATTTCGTAATTAAGATTCATTTTTCAATAACCTTTAAAATATAGTACAAAGAAAAATTATACTTATAAAATTCCATATTAATAGTGTGCCAGCAAACGCACAGTCATAAGAATTTCAAGTTAATTTCCAAACATTATATCAAGTACTGTTAAAAATAACCATTCAGATAATGGAAAATGTGTTTACATTGAAGAACCAATAACTAGTCGCCAAACTAACTAGTAACTTTCATTTAAATCACTTTTTGTAGCAAAAAACTACTTGTGATCTGTAAAAAAACTGTTATAACTATCATACCTTAATTGTTACAGTCATTCCAAAATAATTCTTCCAATGTAACATTTTTGATCCATTTTATAAATAACCTATTATGAACCTGCTGAATTCTGAGCAAAAACATTTGTGATGTTGTTTTAAAATGAAATGAATAGCAGAAAACTTTCGAAGTTTGATCTGTAACACTCTTTTTTTGAGCAAATAAATGAAATGCTATCATTTCACCAACACAACAATATCCTAACAGTATTTAGCCTGTCTTATATACTGTCGAACACACAGACTGTTTACAACGGAAAATGGGTACAAAATATTAAACGTTTATCTAGACGTTTTAATACATTTCCAACACCAAATAAACGAGATGTCAGTTACTAAACATACCGTAATGACCTTCATAATCAACAATTGCGATCATCTGATCACATACAAACACAATCATTGTCGCCCGCATTATTAGGCAAATTAATGTGTTCACGACATGATTTAAACCAAAAATACCGTTGCGAGAACCTTCTGTATACTACAACTATAGCATAAAAGTGGAATATCACGCAGCAAAAGGTTAAAACTATCGGCATTATGATAACCAAACACTTCAAATACAAGCCATCGTCAGTATGTAAATAGTAAATAATGTAAACCACACTATAAACATAACATTACATTTACCGTCTGAATTCGAACGATAAAACATCTTCGACTTATTGCGATTCCCAAATCCAATTTCGCCCTTGATTAGCGGGCGCTAAAAGTCACCACTTACCGGCCATGACAAAGCCCAGCACAAAACTATTAGAAGTTCAATAGTCTTAGTACACAATCACTTCAGTGTTTTGCTAAAACATCACATACATTTGCAGATGAATATAGATTAAAATCATTTCAAGATTACATCGGTAAAAAGCAATGGCGGTGAGAAATACATACAAATAATTACTACTGCAAAATCTAGTGTTGCTATATTACAATTTTAAAAACTACTAATGCAGTATCACAGGCGTTAACAATGCCATGCTGACAGATTATATCATAACATAATAACCATTTATTCGCAATAATTGCAATATTTCTTATAACGATGCGAATGAAATTGTAGTGATTATTAATTCTACTTTAAAATTTGAAACATTAAGAAATTAATACAGAACTTAATTTTTTCATACAAATAAAGAAGAGAATGTAAATTACTATATAATGTAATTCTATAGTACAATTATAATAATCCGTTGAATACAGACTGTTATGTAAATGAGTTAATACATTTTACATTGCATTTCAAAAATAATGAAAACCTACTATAATAGTAGTAAAGTCTGTATAGATAATTCTTGTCAGGTAAATGTCAAATTCTGAAGTTTGTGTGTCAAAGCAGTCCAAAAAAAAAGCGCGCATTTCAGTCTTGGGCACTGCCATCTATGTTTTCAATGGAGCAATTTGTAACAAACTGTTTTACTGACATTATTTATCGTAATTCAAATTCATGACTAGGATCATTATTAATCATATTTATCAAAATATACATAACTTTGTTATATAAGAACAGCTATTATATACATGAAATTAATCAGATTAATTTTATTATTGATAAATGGCGTAGTGTAACACAAATAGCTGTATAAATAGCATAACTATGTTTATTGTTTCCGGCCGACAAATTTGAATATTTGAATTGATGAATTTCACAGATAAATTAATTGTCAATTTATAGTTGAGAGAGTTAACAGGATTTTTTTAATAAATATTAAAATGAGTGCTGACATGTTCGATTCTGTAAGTAATCATAGCTTTGATTATCGGAATTCTATAATTTTAAGAAAAGTAATGTTTGTGTATAATAACTAGGGTGAATTTTCGGTTTCGATAACGTTTCATTGAGATAATATTTATTATCTTAAATAAATAAGTGTAGGTAATTATTTAGAAACACATTTTAATAATGTTTTAAATAACTATACATTATAAAATATTATTGATATATAAATAGGTGATATATTTCTTCGTATTTTTTTAAGGTTGTAAATAATTATGAAGTAGAGCATTATCTCAATTTGTTACAAGTCCATCCCTAACGAAATAAATAAACGATTATCTTTGGTACACAATCATCAATATCAATATATGTTAACTGGACACAACGTTATTTTGCGCGCGTTTCGTGACCATGGCCTCGGCGTTTATCACGGTCACATAACATATGGTCGTTATGTCGCTATAGGCTCTATTTCACGTCCACTATAGCCTTTTATTACGTACATGTCCTCATAACATACTTACGTAGTAGATCTCATCTACTATAGTCTCATAAGCCTTGACTTGAGTCGATCTAATCTTTCTCATTATTTATATTATTTGATATTATTTGATATAAATCGGCAGCTTAAAGTTATAGAAAATACGATTGCCACGGTTTAATATACGTTGGAAAATGTCAAGCTTTCAATTTAAAAAACGTATATTAAAAAACCTAAACATTAATTTACAAGCATTAGATAGAATAGAATTCCTTTTTTTTTTTAATAAACTGAAAAACATTTTTTAATTATTTTCTCGCCATTTGCACAAAATACCAGATTCTGTTAGGAAAAATGGACAAGACACTTTTAGATTTAAACACGTAGATGTAGATACTAAACTAATAATACCTATGTATATAAGTTCCTATAAGTATTTTAATTTACTAAATAAGAATCCAAGATTCTGTGTATCTACGGGAAAGTAGACCCTATTGATTACAAAAGTGGATTTAAATACCATTCAGTTTTAGCATATATATACTCGTAACTTGCGTATAATATTGCACTAATATATTCTTAAAAGAAATATCATCATATTTAAAAAAATAACCAGGAAAAAAATTATGAATCTTCCGTTATTGGTACCCTCAAAACCTATGAAGTTAGGAACCATTACACATAGTTGCACAATTCAACTTACGGTAATATGACTTATAGCAGGCATTGGCAAGCCTATCATGTTTACATGACATTGAATTTATAAGGAAAACAATTCGAACAAAACAAGATTCTATATTTTACGTCAATGCGTAGAGTATCAGTCGTATAGTAGAGACACGTCTTTAGATAAAAAGTCTTTAGATGTATCCATTTTAATATAGTATTTAAATTCACCTATCTACTATAATTTCGGAACGTCATTCATGTAATATTATCTTATCTGTGGTCATACCAAACTCAAAGGGATTGTCAACTGAAAATACAATGTTGTGTGTGAAGCATGCCGTCCGATATTATACTAATCGGAAAACGCCAGTCCATGCATACTTTCTAGACCTGTCAAGAGCATTTGATCTGGTTTCTTATGATATTTTGTGGAAAAAGCTTGAGGAAATTAATTTTCTACCAGATCTCATAAATATCCACAAATACTGGTATGCTAATCAGGCCAACAGCGTCCGATGGGCGGGTACCATGTCACAGTCATACAGATTGGAGTGTGGCGTGAGGCAAGGGGGGTTGTCGTCGCCGATACTTTTCAATCTGTATATTAATGAACTGATAATTGCATTGGGTAGCACTCATGTCGGCTGTCATATAGACGGTGTAAATGTAAATAATATAAGTTATGCCGACGACATGGTGCTTCTCAGTCGTCAGTATGTGGACTTAGAAGACTCATGGCTATCTGTGAGTCATATGCGCGTCGGCACGGTCTGGTTTATAATGCAATAAAAAGTAAAGTCGTGGTCTTTGAGGCCAAAGGCAATAATATAGATGTTTTTCCCGAAGACAAACTCAATGGCATAGCGCTGGAAAGGGTGTATAAATTCAAATACTTGGGACATCTATTGAACTCTGACCTTAGAGATGACGATATTGAACGAGAAAGGAGAGCGCTGGCGGTGAGGGCGAATATGATAGGGCACAGATTTGCGCGGTGCTCTAGGGATGTCAAAATCACTTTGTTTAGATCATTTTGTACACCTGCAATCTGTGGGCTGCATACGCCCGAAAGTCCTACAGCGGGCTTCGCGTTCAGTATAACAACGCATTCAGGGTGTTGATGGGGCTGTCGCGATTCTGCAGTGCATCAGGAATGTTCGCGGAGTACCGTGTGGATTGTTTCTATGCTACAATGCGGAAAAGATCCCTGGTGCGGAGAGTACGTGCCAGTACCAACAGCATCCTGAACATGATTGCGGGCAGGCTGGACTGTGCGTATGTTAATCACTGCTGTACTATTTCCAATGGAATGGTACAGCGGTGATTTTTATACTGATTTTTTATATTTATATGTAAATGTATTTTAATTTATATTTCAATTTAATTTAATATTAATTTTTGATATTATTTGTATTTTATTTTTGTGTATGTATTTTGTGTCTGTAGTCTGTACGTACTAACACTAATTATAAGAAATCTGTAATACTAACAACCACTTTGTTAGTATTACAGATTTCTCAAGTAAGCCTGATAATAAATACATTATTATTATTATTATTATTAAACTATAATTATACAAACGACTAATTCGTTTTCTTAGGCTTTTCTTTTTACACAACGATTAACGACCAAAAGAATTCTAGTAGGAAACAAACGTGTTGAAATGTCTATGACCCTGTTCTATGAACTCTGTCATTAATTAGAGATGACTTAACATATTTTTATAATTAATTCACTGTTGATGTACCTACCATTTTTATGTCCGTGATCAAATATAATGCTTAGTTTCTGTAGACTGTTCTGTCTGGCTTCAGCGAAAAGCCGGCGTTTGTTCTTCGGCGACGATTGTGTGGCAAGCGGTGACACTACCATCGTTGTGGTCGCCATTATTTCACATCACCATTTCATGTGCTGCGAACAAAGGTTTTACATAAATAATGTTATTGAAGTAATTCCGCCGCTGCTACATTTATGTATTGTGCAAATGCAGTACTTTTACGCAGACAGCGTATAGAATGTCCGGCGCGGACTTATATGAATCTTTTTTTTTGTTTAATACGCTCTATATTTATTAGTTACAATGGAACATCCATTGTAACTAATTGTTCGTGGTTAACGTTATATGAAATTTTACCAAGTTTGGTTTGAAAATTTAGCGATATTAAAAGGCCTTAGACATAAATTCGCGAAATTTGGTATACTTATTAAAATACAGTTGAAATATAGTAAAAACATCCCATTTTTAAAGCGAAACGAACAATTGCAGACATATATCGCCCTTCATTTCAACAAATAATTTTTGACTACGTACACTCTCTAATTCGCTTAATACAAACTCATAAGCGGCTAAAATGTCCTACAATTCCTACATGAATAAATAATTTTTTAATTTGAATTAGATATAGGCAGTATAGACCCTAAGCAAATGCGGAATCAGATGACATTGTTGATAAATCACTTACAAATGTGTAAATACGCTTTTCTTATCATAGATTTATGCCAAGTGCGAACAGTGAATTCATTTATTACACCGAGGTCGATGGCTGCCATTTCGCAGACTCGCGACATTGAACTAAATTCGTACTGTTTAAAAGATATTAATTATTATTAAACATACTACAGTAAATATAACTAAATTGCGCCTTTTGATATACTAGGTCGCGCGGTCATTATCCCTAAATATAGATAACAATATGTACAAAATGTGTCTATAGAAAGTACATATTAGTTCGATATAAGTCTGTCATTGCGTTTTGTTGCTGATCATTTCACAAATATTGTACAAGTTGTTGCCTTTAAGCAGACCGTAACATTACCACCGATTGTTTACATTTGTTTTTGCTCTCATATATTTCTGCCGTCAGCAGCTGTTGTCAGGTTTACGAACATATCAGAGAAATTACTGGATGCGAAGCCATAAAACCTTAAGTTCTCAGGAATGAGGGACGCGTCTCAAACTTATTTTCCGTACTAGCAGTCCCTCCAAGCAGTCAAGTCATCATTCGGGGCTGACTGCATTATCAGCCCCACCAGCATA